TGTCAGTGCTGGGGGCGCCCCAGAGCTCAGCTCCCATGACGACTACTGTGATCAACATCCACAGCGAGACGGCTGTGCCCGACCACATCGTCTGGTCCCTGTTCAACACGCTCTTCATGAACTGGTGCTGCCTGGGCTTCGTGGCATTCGCCTACTCTGTGAAGGTGGGGGATGCTCCAGAAAGTGTGTGAGCCTGCAGAGATGGCACTTGGGGTGTGGGGAGGCCTGGTGTGTGGGTATCTCCTGGTGTGTGTGTGTGTGTGTGTGTGTGTGTGTGTGTCTAGGCCACGATGAGGCTGCATGAGGTGCATGGCGATGGCCAGGGTCAGCCTTTGTCCCCAGGACCAGGGATTTCCTTACTGACCAAACCAGAAATTACATCCCTCAGACTCAGGATGTGGCTCCAAGGCTCTCTCAGAAAGAACAAAGGGACTCACAGGAAATCCTGCCCCATGGTGGGGTGAGTGGCCAGCGAGGGGGCCAGAGCAGAGGGAGGAGGAATCTGAGGCCTCGGGGAGAGGCTGAGGCTGTGAGGAAGGAGACGGAGGCCCCAGCAGGGAGAGGGCCCATCAGGCGCTGTCCTGCTCAGGCTCAGGGGCCGGGGATGGCAGCTCCCCATGTGGGTGAAAGGCAGGTGGAGGCTGCTCTGGGCAGGGACCAGCCAGGGAAGGACCTGAGTCGTAGCACCTGGCTCTCACCAGAACCCCTCCAAGTCCCTCTCACCTCTCTTCTCCCCCAGTCTAGGGACCGGAAGATGGTGGGCGACGTGACTGGGGCCCAGAGCTATGCGTCCACTGCCAAGTGCCTGAACATCTGGGCCCTGGTCTTGGGCCTCTTTCTGACCACTGGATTCATCGTTCTTCTGGGATTTGCCACCCTGATCCTCTACCAGACAGCTATAAAGTCCATGCAGGAGGGCAGAGGCCACTTGTAGCTGCCCATGGCCGCGGCCCCATCCTCACCGTCCCTGCTGGCCCCGCATCCTGGGGCTGTTGGCCCTGCCCCCTTACCCCCACCCCTTTCTATAGCAGTTTGCACAGACAGACCTGTCTACACCTGTACTCAATAAAGCTCAACTTTATGTGACAGTGCTGTGTTACCGTTCTTCATGATGGCTGCCCTCGGGGAATGGGGGCCCTCCTGTCCACTGGGGCCAGGGTGGGCGTCACCGGACCCAAGTCTGCACTGTCGGCCGGGAAGGGGCACCGCGGGCCCTTCCACCTCCGAGTGCGTCCTTCCCAGATCCAGAGGGGCGGGTCTGCCAGGGTCCCCTCCATATCTCACCCACACCCCGTTATGTGCCCCGAAAATCAGCGGCCTAACTCCAGGAGACAGCTGTTGGGCGGGGTCCCCAGGGTGGGCCTTGGGAGTGCTCGGGGTGCCGCTCTCCATGGTGTCCCACGTGTGGGGGCACGACGGGGACAGGCCCCGGAAGGCCGATCTGGTGAAGGCAGTCTTTCCTATCCTGTCTTTAAAGATGGATATGCGCCACCTGCTGACCTGGTGGCAGAACTGCCCAACTCAGCAGGGTTGTGTCAGACCCACTAAGTCAGAGCGTCAGGTGGGCCCAGCAGCAATGCATACGAAGATGGAAATGGAACACTCCAGACCAAACAGGCAGGTTGTCCTGACCCTGTGTCATCCAGCACTGCTTCCCAACGCCTGTCGCTCTGCTGGCACCTGGTTCTGCAGGAGGAACCCCTTGGGACCAGATGGTGGCAAAGGAAGGATTCCCAGCCTGGTTCTCCATGGGTCAGCTCAGTGTTAGGAGAAAGCTGGACACAGATGGAGTCTCCACTCCAGCCCCCTCAGGGGTGGCCTGAACACCCCTGGGAGGGAAAGGTCCCCATGGGCAGAGGTGCAAGCCAGTGACTTTCACTGGACATCCCCCTCCAGAGAGAGGACATGTATTCTGGGTGTGGCTGCCCGCCCTGTTCCCAGGCCTCAGTCAGCACCTCCCAGGGGCTCAGCATGTTGACCGCTACACAGGGCCCCACATCATATCATGTCTACCCAGTGACAGGAGCAGGGCTTGGGTCTGCCAGTCACGCCCCACCCCACACCACCCCGAAGATGCCTGACAGACGGAGCAGAGCAGAGGTGATGGCCCCAAGGGTGGGCACCCATCGTGGCTCCAGTGAGTCATCAGATCAAAGACCTTTATCAGGTGCTGTGTGGGCAGGGGTCAAGGACCCAAGGGCAGGACCCTCTGGACCACTGGCGCATTCACGCTCTCCATCCCTGCTACTTTGGGTTCTGAGTTCAGAAGTTCTATTTCCCGAAGTGGGAAAGCTTCCATCAGGTGACACAACAAGGCACGTTGACCTGACTGCCCTGGATGCCACTCGGGCCCTGTGGGTCCTCACGTGAGGGTCACAGGCAGGGCCACTGGACTCTGGCCCTGGAGAAAAGGGAGGGCTGTTGCTCCACATGGAGCCCAGTTTTGGACATGCGCAGCGCCATCGCGCCAAGAAGGGCATGGTGACCAGGGCCTAGATGCCTCAGAGAAGGGGTCACACCACGCAGTCACCTCCTGGGCCTAGCAGGGTAATAGCTGAGGGCGAGGAGAATGTGGGATGGATTCTGGAGAGAAACGAAGAGCACTAGCATGGCCCTGAGACCAGCTGCAGCTGCAGGAGGCAGGTTTCCTTCCACTCACCTCCCTCTTCCAGGTTCCCCCAGGAGGAGGAGCCTACTGGGAGCCTGGAGGGGCCGCTCCCAGAACCCACCTGAAGAAGCCCACGCAAGCAGCTCATGGGGTAGACTATGGCCAATGCCATGATGCACATTCAGACCCACCTTCAGGAAGAAAGGACTCACTCCTCCGGCTGGTGGGAGAGTGGGCAGCCGTCCCTGGGGACTGCCTCTACTGAAGAAAGTGGTGTCACTCAGGGCCACGCCTTCTTCGAGGGGGCATCCTGCTTCCAACGTCTGAGCAACACAGGGGTGTAAAGACCTGGACCCCTCCCTCTGCTCTGGATGTCTCCGAAGGGCCTTCTAAGCTCCAGAGCTCCTGAGAGGTCGGCCGTCTTTGTTGAGGCTCAGTGCAGCTCAGCTTCTCCTCTGCCTCATCCTGCTTCCTTTCCCTTCCACAGGGCTTGACCCCTAGAGCTATTAAACGTCCTACACCCGAATCTCCTTCTCAGTTTGCTGTTCAGGGACCACGGCCTGGAGCAACCTTGCAGGGCCTTGTTAGCCACTGTGGTGACTTGGGATCTCCCTCGGAGGAGGTGGGAGCCATTGCAGTATTCTGAGCAGGCGGGAGATGACCTGTCTTCTGCTGTAACAGGATCACTCTGGGGCAGTACTGAGAGTGCCAAGAAGAGGTGGCTCCGCTAATCCAGCAGGAGGTGAGGATGGCTTGGTCTCGGAGGTTGCAGTGGGGGTTGAGATTCTACATGCCCTGGAGGATGGGGCCAAATGGACTTGGTACGGGCAGCAGAGCTGGCAGGGTGAGCCAACCTTTTTGGCCTGAGTAGCTGGATGGGTGGAGTTGCCATCACCTGTGCTGGGAGAGATGGGGCAGAGGAGGTGCGATGGACTGAACGTTTGTGTCCCCCCAAATTCCCGTGTTGAAGCTAATGGCCAATGTGATAGTATTAGGAGGTGGGGGCTTTGGGAGGTGATTAGGTGGTGAGGGTGCAGCTCTCGTGATAAGGATTAGTGTTCTTATAAAAGAGACCCCCACAGAGCTCCCTAGCCCCTTCCACCTTGTGAGGACACTGATGAGTTGGCCATCTGCAACCAGGAAGAGGGTCTCACCAGAACCCGTCCACACTGGCACCCTGATCTCGACTTCCAGCCTCCAGAACTGTGAGAAGTAAACTTCTGGTGTTTATGATCCACCCTGTCTGTGGTACTCGGTTATCGCAGCCCAACTGACTATGACAGGAGGTCTGGGGGGAGGAACCCGAGGTCTCTGGTTGAAGAGTTAGGCTGGAGATCCCACCAGCCTCCTCCATGGAGCAGCACTTCAGTATGTGAGTCAGGGGTTTGGGAGTGAAGTCTGGCCCTTGGATGTCAACGTGAGTTACTTACAGCCAAGAGGCTGCTGGGCCCTCCCTAGGGGATGAGACCAGGAGCAGCCCTGAGTCACCCCCAACATCTCTGGACGGGGGAGGGGAGGAGGAACCAGTCAAGGAGGCAGAAGCAGCTGCCTGCCCCTGAGGGAGGAGGGCGGGCCCCATAGCGAGCACGGAGAGCTCACTGCAGGCCTGACAGCCATGTTAGCCTTATGGCTGGTCCGGGGGTCTCCTCCCACTGACCCCCCACATGCAGCCC